GAACTGCGGGGCACACAAAAGGTGCTTGCTGCTACAGGGAAAGGGCTTTAGGATGTTTCTGCATGCAGTTGGTATGCTAAGCAACAGAAGTATGAATGTGAAGTAACACCAACCTCTACAGGCATTTATTAAAAAAAAAAAAAAAAAAAGGCTAAGGAAAGCAGTTTGTAAATAACTGAAATACAGGATATGATGTAGTTTACCTGATTGAAGAGGAGTGGAATTTGGCTTCAATAACAGCAACTTGTTTCTCCTGATCAAAACCTATCCTTCAAAATCTGTTGGGTTTTTTTTTGTAGCTGCTAGATGTATCTTTTGTTCCTATTGATCAACAGAAAACTTGAACAGAGAGAAGTCCGTGCAAGCAATTTTCTTTTAAAAGGCAGAAAATACTGTACGTTCTTGGTGTCTGTTTGCTACATGTAAACAAAATTGTAGGTGTATGGATATGAAAGCTACTGATAACACACTGGTAACTTCTAGGACAGTTCAAGAGATCTGTCTTCCAGGTGTGTTTTCAACTAGGAAAATAGTAGAGAGATCTGTGAAGCAGTGATTCATAATGGCAAGTCCTTAAAATAACAGGTTTTCACTGTATGTCTGCAAAAAGCCTTTGTTTTTTGATAGATATACATAATTAAAAATGCTTTTAATTAAGCAGACGGTTTTTGTGTTTGAAGGTTCTCTTGAGGTATCTTTTAAAATGAAAGTATTCTGTCCTCAGGAGATTCTAAAGCAACAGAGTCTACGGATGTTTGAGCTGGTCCAGAAGCATCCACCGCACTGGCCTCCTTTCATACCTCCAACAAAGCCAGAAGTGACAACCACGGGAGCAGGTGCAGTAGCGACTGACAGCACTGCTATGCAGCAGGGTGGTGCTCCTGTGCAAACGGGAGAAAGAGCACAGGTGGAATACCTGTGCTTTCCGAAGCGTCAAGCAATCACTGCGGATTAAATGCCTTATTCTTAGAGAATTACCAGACAGCTATCCAAATAGGCCACATACAATTTCTAGCACAGATACATAGATATTTTTTTTTTTCAATCTTACAAAATACTTTGAAGGACACACTCCAGAAAAGCGGGTTTTTCTTTCTATTTTTTTTTTTTAAGTAAACAAAATCAGGCATATCTTTAGATTCTAAATTGTTGAATTTTTTTCTTTTTTGCAGAACTCATTGAATCTACTGACAAACTATTTGAATTGGAAGAAGAATTTGAAATCCTGAGTGTATGAAGGAAACATGGTGACCCTTCTGAGTATTGAACATATCGCTAATATTACTGCATTGACTTAAATCAAACAGCCATGTTAGCCCCAAAGTGCCTGAAATGACAGATAACAGAGCACAAAAACCTAGTAGCGTCCGAAACTCCAACAGTGACAGTTCCTTCCGTCAAAGAGCTGCCCCAGATGGAAAGGCAGTAAAAGATCTTCTGGTGAGACCCTTAAAGGGAGCCTCTTTTTGTGTCTTTCCTGAAGACAAATGGACCTTTGAGATGAAGGTAAAAAGAAGTGTATCAATGGGCTGTACGTTTGGAGAAAGGGATAACACGAAATGGATATTTCTTGCTCTCATATAATGCAATAGTTTAGTTCTTAAAGCAAAACAGTCTTCAGTTAAGGAGGATGTTTACTTCCGTTCCCTCCTGTGGGCTGCGTCGTAGAAAAAAATACATTGTCTTGTTTAAAAGATCGACTGGATCAGAAGAAAATTGTTTCCTTGTTAAATATTTTAACATGTATTTGAGCAACCACACTTTATTACAAAAATGTTTCTGTAAAAGGAACTGTGTCTAATGTATACATTTTGCAATAGCCTTCCGGTTCCTGGGAAACCTCAAGAGGAACAGGAGACTCAAATAGTTGATACAGATCACCACCATGGTTATAGTTATGATATATTTCACCTTGACCTTAAAATTCAAATCATTAAAACTTAGGCTGAATTTTCTTTTGGAGCTAAAATAAGTCAAAGGTGGTTTAACTGTACCTTATTTATTTTAAAAAAAGATTTACACAAGTTTCTCTATTACAGCACTTTATCTGTGCATCTAATAAATTTCTTAAGCTTTTCATAGGTTGTATGCTGCTATATTTTGTTAATTTGTTTGTGTGAACTAAATATAAACCAGGTTATCTTAAAACTTAATATATAGGCATATGCAAATGACTTAATTGTTGTTTTTTGACTTGTTGCCTTTTGAAATCTGTTTTGGTAAAAGTGCCTTAATTGTACAGGTTTATCAGAACAGCCTGTGCGGTTTTATTTCTAAGGCAGAGGATCTTTCTAGCAGCTGTAAGAAAACCAGCTCAGAATAATTACAGGCAAAGATCTTTTAATCCGTTATAAAGTTCCTTTTTACTATCGAGACAGTCCCAATGATGGTCATTTTGTCATGACAGTGTAACGGACATGAATTGCACAGCTTCACCTTCACCAATAAATGACAACATAGAGAAGTACCCAATGCTGTGTCCTCTCACTTGCACTTCTTGATTAGGGCCAGTGTGATTTCCAAGGAAATAGTTAACCAGAACATATTTCATCTTGTTTGCCTTCAATGTTTATTAACCACAGTTTGGAAACTATACACTTAGAAAAAATACCATTTTCTTCCCCTCTCCATGGATTAGCTGCATGGGTGTTTTTTTTTTTAAAACAAAGCATTACTTCTTAACTAATACAGGAACTTACTGTCCATGTTACAGCAATTGTAGACCTCTCCTCCCCACTGACAAAAATGAAAATGAAGCCTTTGCTCTGAGAGGCTCAGTCTTGAGAAAGCACCTCAGTTAAAAAATAGAAATAATTGAAAAACAAGAATCAATCATCAGTGGAGTACAATATAATTATTCCCCACGTAGCCCTTAGCTGTTATGTAGTCACTCTCCAGAGAGGAAGTCTTGGCCCTGCAGAGCTCTTGGAGACGTATCCTTAGTGGGGGTAAACAGATTGATGAGAAAGGGGCTGATGGAGGAATGGCTGGTGACTGGAATTCCCGCCCTGTGCACCGGCCAGGGGATGGCTTGTGTGGGAAACGGACGGGCTTGTTGAGCTTGGTGGAAGTTTGGGACATTGCTAGCAGAGCAGTTCCTTAGACAGCAGTGCTTAAAAATGCATAAGGCTCTGATCCTGGGAAAAAAAACAATCAATTGTATTTGCATGTGTCCATGTTCAAAAAGAAAACCAAGTCCCTGCAGATACAATACCTGATCGACACCCTTTTTTCTAGCACGGTGGGAGCCCAATAGCTGAAAAATTCATTGTAGTTTGCCAGGTAGTTACATAAATTTTCAAAAAGTAGTGAGCTTCACTGTGTGCACAGTGTTTTAAAGATGCATTTGCATACCCCGAGATGTAAATACAATACGATCTGTCTGTGCTGGGACAGCTAAGAAGTAGATCAGATATTCTGCATAAAAGGACTGCCACTCTGGAGCATTCAGATCCTTTAAAGATACTTGCAAATTACACCCAAAGCAGCCACTGATCTTTCACAATTAGGAGTAAGTTAAATGAAGGACTAAACTGTTCTTCACAAATTCCGTGCTCATCTCCAGTGTGGTTCAGCTCTAGAACATGCAGAGCGCTCTGACCCCGATCTAGGCAGATAATATTGTATTTTGCATGTAAATAATCATTAAAGGTAAAAATAGTATCTGCTTAAAAGTAAGCATGTTCTTAAGTACTTCGCTGGAGAGAGCTAGAGCCCTAGAACCTAGTAGAGAAATAATACTTTAAAATAATGTCTCAGTCTTGCATTAATAATAATTTTTCTGAACAATTTTGTTTTAAAGATTTTTAAGCCAAGGTGATAGTGCCTTTGCAAGGCACTTCTTTCAAATGTCCTGGGATGTCAATATATAAGGATTTCATGCGCTTCACTCTAGAGAGGTTGATAATAATAATTTTAGCCCAACTAAATGAATTAATTATCTGTATATTAGCATACCTTTTTCATGGCTTTCCCTCAAAATATACAAGGATAATACAATTACTGGCACTTCTCTTTAATTATGCCCTGAAGGAAAGTGTGACTAGTTAACAGTGCATACACTAGAAATACAGTTTTTTAAACTAACAGAAATAAAGCCCAGAGGAAGAAGTTTACAACACATCGTGACTGTAGAAGTGAAAAACGTACATCCCATAACTGCTTGCTTCTGTGTTTGCGTAAGCTTGCACACTATCTAGGAAAGCCCCTACTTTTCCAATACACACAGCTGGGATAATTACAAAACAAGCGTGCCAAGGCTACCTCAGAAAGAAAATTTACGTTCATAGTAATGAAATGTTTCTGGTGGCTGCACATCATTTGACCGCAAGAAGATAAGCACAGACCTTGAAGCAGACATTTTACCTGGAATATATTTCAATAGAAAGCTATGAAAAATGCTAGAGGTGTTTTGGATTCATCTTCACATCAAAAATTGCATTTTTCGCTGGGGTGGCTCTTTAAAGTCAGCCATGGATGAGAGGCTGGATTAGGATTGATTACCTGTCACTGGAGGAAAGAATGTCTGTTTAATAAGCAAAGCAAACCAAATTAATCTTTGAGTCTTCCTAAGGAAGTCAGTTACCAACCATTAATGCTTAGTGTTCCTAAGTCACCTACAATACACTGATAAATTTTAGCTAGCTCTGTATTTCATAGGAGAATGAGTCTTCATTCCCTTTTGCTAGACCAAATACCTTGCAAAGACACTAATAAAGCAAAACTTTTGAAAAGTCTCTTTTGTTGATGATTGGCATGTGCCGCAGACAGAGGAGTGGTGTAATGCGAGACAGCGATTACTCTTTGGTCTGAGTAAGGAACTCGCAGAGACTTGCTGAGGTAGCTGGGAAAAAAACCCCATTGAAGTAAAAGCATAGCACCATTTTCCATAAAAAAAAACCAAAGAGTTGTCGGAGCATCAGTCTTTCCCTCCTCTGTGTGCAGTCAAACTCCTGGTCTTGACACTGGATTTTTTGTAGAATTCTGGCTGTCTTGATTCACTCATCAACCACACCCCAAACAGGTTTATGAATTTATCCTTCTTCACATCAGTGATGTCTAGTCTTAGGTAACAAAGACTGTTACTGCATTTTTGTTACTACAAGTTCTTCATGCAGACTTGGCAACGGCTGACCCTTGTTCGAAGCTGTCCTGCTTTCAGAGTTTCTGAGGGAGGAGCACCGACAAACTGCTGCGACTGTTCAACTGTCGTCAGCCAGAAGCTGTATTTATTTGCAAAGTAATGGCACGTTCCCCTAGCGCCGTTGCATTCAATGAATGGAGTAGCACGGAAATCCTCTAGGCAAGAACCAGGTGAGACGAGGGACTGACCTCCGCCTTCTGCACCAGCCGCAGTGTGCTGAAATAAAGACGTCAATTTAAATGAGTTCAAAGGAACAGCATGGGAGGTAAGCAGGGGAGTCCTCCAGTTCCATTGTTAAAAGGAGTAAAACAGGCAACCAAAATTACACCTTGGCTATGTCTGTCTGTCTTCTCAGTCAGGGCGAGAGGTGAAGAAGCAAAGGAATGTACTTAGGCTGAATATGAAGGCCTGGTATAACGGTAAACCAGCTTTTCACTTGCAAGCTGGGAAAATTTGGAAACAATAATGCTAACTTCATCTTTTTCTAACAGTCTTACACTAATGAGCTTCTAGGAGAGTGCAACGGAAAATCATCTACTTTTTCCACTGAGAGAGAGGATTAAGACAATGCTGTAGCTTAATTAGCATTTCCACATTTAAAGTTTTGAAGAACAAAGAATTTCTGTGGCGATACAGAACTACTGTGCCAATGTTACTACTGAAGCGGAGCGGTACAGGTGAGGCGGCCAGCAAAACGGGAACAAACTCAGAAAGCCTGCAGCAGGCCAGCTGATAAAGAATAAATGCACTAGGGCAAGGAGCTACAGGGCTCTAGTTCCCTGTAAGCAACTCATAGAATACAGTCTCAGGCACCTAATCAAAGAGGAGATCTAGAAATGTTTAAAGCCGCCTTTGCATTAGCAATAGTATCCTTACCATAAGGAAGGAGTATCCTATCCATAGGCTGCGCCAACCAAGGGGACACTGTGGGATGGTGATGTCCTGGCTGTGCACGGCCACAGCCTGGGAAGGTGCTTCACACACGGAGCACCGACTGATGTACTGTGGGATCTGAAGGCTGTCCACTGGCATCATGGGGATAGGAGCCGTGGTGGAGAGCCAGTAGGACTTGTCATTTCGGCTGGCGTAGTAGCACACTTCATTGATGTTGCAGTAAATAAAAGGCATGGTGCTGAAGCGAGGCAAACATGAGCCAGCAAAACCTGGAAAAATTGGAGAAGCAGTCATACCAAGGATCTGCCAAATGCTCCAACTACACACCAGACATGAGTGGCGGAGGACGGCACAAGTGACACTGGTCCCAGTACAGATTTCTGTCAACTCACCGAGATCTTGGTTGTGTGACTTTTCCTGCCCCTCCACATACAATAAGCTGTAGCCGTCCCAGAGCTTGTTCATTCCTATGGGACAAGGTGGGATTTGGTCTGACTGACTGTGCTTCACTAAAGTGTATCCAACACCCACGCTCCGACCAGGCATTCAGTGAGCCCGGCTTTCCAGCAACACCTAGAAGGCAGAAAAGGAGTCACTGTTACTGGCAGACAGTGTGGGCACCAGCTGGCTCTATACCCGACCTTGGCATTGCTGTCGTTGTGTTTATGTCAGTCTTGTACAACGAGGAGCCCAAGTTTTGGTGGTTGTAATATGAATAACTAGACTTACAGTTCCAAAAGCAGTCATTTCACAGTAGCACCCACCCATTTCCTAACTCATTTCTTTCTTTGCCCAACAACTCTGGTGCCAATGTGTTAGCACATACCTCACACTACAATAATTCTGAAGATCTCAAAGCACCAACCAAAACCTAATAAATTCATTTTTGCTATAGTGCGCTTCATGATGATTTTCCTTTGACACAGAAAGGCCGCAAGTTGTACAACAAATCTGTGGCAGAATCCAAACCTCTCTCTCACTGTTCCTCTCCTCTACTATCCAACCCTCACAGCTGTGTTCACTGTGAATACCATTTCACTCTTTTAGATCTTCAGGATGACTCCCACATCCACAAAACATAAAAACCAAAAGATGTTCAGAATTGTACCAAGGGAACACTAGCAGTGATAGACAACAATGACATGTGGCATAATCTTCCTCACTGAAGATTAAATTTACTTCATTGCAAGACACAAGATTGTGTACATCCCCTGGTCTTCCTAAGGTAACTGGGTGTTGGGGAGAGTCTCTGCAGAACCTGTAGGCAAACACAATTCTACTGACTGCTTCTTTCTGACCTGTGCTCTCCAATTCATAAAATTACCTTCAAATCCTTGTGGTCCTGGGGCACCCGAAGGTCCTGGATCCCCAACTATGCCAGGTGATCCAGGTAAACCATCACGGCCTTTCAAACCAGATCTTCCTGGCAGACCTTTTGTACCTGAAATTACATACAATTATTACCATCATTATTTTGTCAGACTAATGCCTTCACTCCTGCAATCATATTCCAGAAGAGAAATACGTTGTCAGTAGCCATACTGAGAGCTCACTCTTCAACAGCTGTGGTTACAAACAACTAACTCCATACAGGGATTCCACAGGATCTCTCTGTCTGTTAAAGAGGTGCAGCTGAACATTAGACAAGGTTGAAATTGCAGCACTGAGATCTGGGATAAGTTACTGATTTTAGTCTGAAGCCACATTGGACCTAAGACTCAGGTTTCAATTTGTCAGCTGTGGACGTCTGTGAACTCTTCTCATCTCTGTCTCGCAAGATTCCTGCCACTGTGAAAACAAGAATCCTCTGGTGTAATGGTCCAGCTGTTTTAAGCTGATGAAAGTTGAGCTACCTTGCTGAAATTTTGCTTAAGACTTGAAGGCACTCCTTTTGCTTGATTTAACCCTTTTTCCAAACCAGAAAATTGGCCTTAATGCTCAGCCTAAATATAATGTAAAATTAGAGCCACTGACTTGAACTAAGTTCACCTTTCCCCTTCTCCCCCTGATATTTGATGATGAGCCTCTGACTGACAAATCTTTAAAAAGTCTCAGAGCAGTGCAAGGTGCTCAAAATACAAAGGCTTAGAATTTACTGGGATGTAAGAGGAAGTGCCTGCCTATGGACCTTTAGAATCCATTCAGGACTGTCCTGATCCCAAACCAGAAAGTTCTGGCATGGATTGGATAAACCAACAATAAAATAAATGTCCAGGATGGTACAAGTTAAAATATAACAAAATAGTATAAAGAGACAGAAGGCGTTATGCAATTTTGTACAGAGCTAGATACCTGGCATGTGATCACTAATGCGGAAGGTTAATATTAGTATAAAGAAACGTGTGACTGGGAAACAGATGGGTGTACGTTTGCACAACTTTCATAAAGGTTAAGCATTAAAAATAGTACAAATAGGGGTAATTTCCCAATGAACTTCTGTCTTTCCGCTGCTCTGCAGCGTCTGTTACCTGATTGCCTGACCAGTATTAGTAAAGGCTCTCTCGGCTTTTATACCCTGCACGTTTATTCACTTTAGGGACTGACAACAGGAAGCCAGGAACTAACACAGCTCTATTCACTGTGACGGGATTCAGGGTAACATCTAGGGGGAAGGACTGGTGCTAAGTGATGTTCCCACTCTAGGAGTTTTCATGAATAAAAGAGAATACTAACGTTTAAAATCACCTAAATGGCAGTGCTAAGAAAGGAATCATGGGGACTTGCTGGGCGTAGGAGAGCCAACTGGTGCAGGACCCACCAAAGTTGCTTTGCCAAACAATATGAGCCACAGTGGTGCAGGCTGAAGTTCCCAACACTTCTCCAGTTACAGTATTTCATTGACAATTCAAATAATTCTCCATGGTGAATCACTGTCATGACCACTCCACCTGCTAGGACCAAAGCTGGTATCATATCAGCTACATAGCAGGGTGCTGCACCTAATTCTGGAAACCTAATTAAAAAACACTATAAAAGTGCATGAACAGAATTTATCAAATACATTCTAATGATAATAAAACATGGTATTTATATGCATGTTGCTGCAGTTATTTCCTTTATTAGAAAAATCCGTAAACCTTCCTAACGCATCTGAGAAAGTAGTGTTGTTCTTCCAGAAGGCCAGCATTTCAGTCATCTAAGTGTACTTTTTACCTGGTTTTCCAGCTGGGCCCTGGAATCCAGGATCTCCATCAAAGCCAGGGACGCCATCAATTCCTGGCAGACCAGGTAAGCCTGCAGGGGCTGTGACTTCTTCTGGCTGGGGGGTTATACCTGGAGCCCCTTGCTGGCCAGGGAGACCTGCACATGGTGCAAATGACAGTGTAAGTACCCCACAAAAAATTCACAGTTTTGATGATAATAATAATGACAAAATGGAGAAGTATGTTAAATTAAGACTGCCTTAGTACATCAGCACTGGGTATCTTTGTAAAAAGTGGTATGTAAAGCTCTTTCTAATTTATTTCAATCTCTAAGAAACTGAAGAGTCCCCCAAATAAGCCCATTAAGGGAGCTCTGAATTTTTCCCCAGCCCAAATGACGTGCATTAAAGTACAGCTTTCCAAATCCTTCAGCACTCACCTCGATGACCCATTTCACCTTTCAGCCCCGGGTAACCAGGATCCCCCGGAGGCCCATCTTTACCTGGCATCCCCATAAGGCCAGGCTCACCTCTTACACCTGCAAAGATACACAGCTGAAGACCTCAGGGGCTAAGCATGGGGTCCTGATTGTGACCCACAGCTGAGGTACTCAGAAACACACTGATGACAGCAATGGCAAGAGCATTTCAGCTCTGAGATGGAGGGGACCACGACCCTTACGGAACTCTGTGCCCATTTTGATGTCCAGAATGGCTGCAGAGCATCAAGACAAGAATTTCCACTGCTACATAATTACACTTTATCAAAAGTATTCTTCCCCTTCCTTGGGTAACCCAAGGAAAGTGTCTGGGGAGTACACATCTTTTCTATTCGGAATCCATCTCTCTGCACAGCACAGCACAGAGGGATGAGGATCTGCCAGCCTACAAAGACAGCATACAGTTCTTCACCTGGCAATGGTTCTCCATCCTTTCCCAGCTTTTGAGCTGTGCGGTTTCCTCAAAACCTTGCTACTAGAGTTCTTGTTTGCAGCTGCCCTCTAGTCTCCTTTGGCCAAAGAGAGAGCAACCTGCCCCCTGCCTTAGCCCAGAACAAGATCTCTTAACTCCTACAATCCTCTTAGCCTCTTGTGGAGACCAAAATCCACCATGCTACGTCTCTGAGCATACATGAGAGGTGGGACAAAACAGCATCTCCAGCCTTTGCCTAGACAGTGTATGCAAGTGGGTAACCATAGTTGACAAGCACAGCACCATTGCATGTGGTCATCATCTTATCAGAAAAAAACAAAGACAAGAGAAAAAAATCATTAGGGACACACTGAAGAGCACCTGGAGCTGGCCTCACTTTGCTGCTTTTGGAGTCAGAAGGTAAAACCTGCATGGGCCAAAAGCGAAGACTTGGACAACAAACTCAGCTGTGCTTACACCTGAATGAGGATTCATTTCAAAGCACTTGCACTAACCTCACGATAGCTATTCATTCTGCCAAGATGACAGCTGCCAAAACACACCCAGATCCCTTCAAGGCAAGATTACCTTTGAATCCAGATGCACCAGGGAGTCCAACCGGACCAGTGGGTCCCACGTCACCCTTAACGCCTCGCAAGCCAAGAACACCAGGGAGACCTGGATTGCCTGTGTCACCTTGGTCAGAAGCTGGGCCAGGGGGCCCTCGTGGTCCTGGAGGACCTGGAAGACCTAGAGACAACAGGGGTAATTAGCACAATCTGCTCCTGGGGCAAAGTAAATGCTGGGGCTATCCCCAGCATGTCTTTCTAGAGGACAGCCGTTGTTTGGGTGTCTGTATTTCCAGGGGTGTCCTCCTCCCGATGAAAAGAACCAGACCCCACCCACTTATATCCACTTAAGTCTCATAAACTTTTAAATCCTTTTAACCACAGTAATTTAGCTTCAAATTCTGGGCCTGAACATAGCCCTTGCCCCACCTGGTAGTTAGCCTGGTTACTCAGACATTCCCTAGGAGAATGAGAGCAGTGGCTTCAAATCCTTGGCCAGAGAAAGGCTTAGAGTGTCAGCCTCTCCGACAAGGCTGTGAGGTATTGAATGGGTACCAATGCCATCATAACAAATCTTTCAAACTATACGTGCTGTCAACCCCACAGCAAGCACCTCTAAGTAGCAATGAAGTTTGCTGCCTCCCAGCTCAGACAGGATACTTCTAAACTTTACACAGAGCCTATGATTACAGCTGCGGAAAGCACAGTCTAAAATGGAGCTGGTGTCCAAATTTAGACATACTACGCTGGACTTAAGCACCTACCTTAGTGCCCAAGTCAGTCTTCAGTACCACAATAGGTGAAATGAATATGGACTAGAGAGCTTTAATAACAGACTAAACCAAATCATGATTCAATAGGAGGAATTGAAAACAGATCTCTTCATTCTTGATCTCTGATCTAAACCCCAGGTTATTAAAGTGACACTACTCATCCAAGTTATTTCCCCTCAAAGCTCTTCAAAGGAAGCATGTAAAGAAACAGAAATCCCCTTCGCTAGTCCACTCTCCTTAAGGGGCCTCTCTTCACACCTGAACTCCCATCAGTTCCTGGATGGCCAGCATCCCCAGGTCTCCCACGTATATCAGAAGGAAGAGAAACTCCAGGTGTTCCTGGCAAGCCAGGCAGTCCCACAGGACCAGGGGGACCTAGAATGAGAAATACAAAGTGAGAGAGTGTACCCAAAGCTCTTCAGTGATATTCACAGACATGGACAGAAGTAGTGGCTGAGTAGCGTTTATATTGAGGAGAACAAAGAGACATCTCACTACATGAGGGGAAAAATTACAGGTTCTGCTGTTCAGGAGAGGTATAAACACTGTAAGAACGGTGTAACCAACTCTTTTCTCAAATGTATAGCCACATCACAGATTTAATATTTACCTGTCAAACTACTAACCACCTTCGTGGTTTCAGGAGTTCTCTTTGGTAATTCTGACCATGAAAGCATTAACCTGAACCGTAACACATCCTGCTGGGCTTCCAGAACATCAATATTTACCCATGTCTCCTGATGAGCCTTTTGGTCCAGGGAATCCTAAAGGTCCTCTGCCCAAGCCTGGAGAACCTTCTTCACCCTTTGGACCTGGGAGACCTGCAGGGCCTTTCAGTCCAGCTTCACTCAGACCTAATGAAACATGGTTAACAAAGATAAGAGAGTCTATTCAAATTGCCTAATAGCAGTTAAATTATTACACAAATTGAGTTGTAATAAAAAAACCTAGCCATTTACTACTCTCTCTGCTGTTTTCAGCAGAGCAACAGAAAGAGATTTGGTGCCTCATGTGCTACTCTGGTTGTGCAGAGTAAATTCAAACAATCTGCAAGATGCTGAGAGAGAAGCGTATGACTGTTCTGGTCTTCCCATAGGCTCTTGCACAAGGATGTGAACATAGCAGTCCTGTGACAGGATTTGCCAGCCAGCCTGTGTGCTGTGTCTCTCAAGAGGACGCAACATAGACTCAAGCTTCTGGTCTTTAAATAATCTAGTGGGCTTCATGGTCCAACATGGAGAGATCAGTTTGCACAGACTACTGCAGAAGACGCACTGAGGCACAAGCAGCACAGGGACAAAGCTCCCAGAAAGAGCTGCAGGGAGATGTTCAGCATGTCACTCTGGTAAGAGTAAATACTAAGCAGCTCTCAGATAGGAAAATTGTGGAGAATCTATATGCTGTAAATCATGACCTTCCAATAGAGAATGTTTTAAACAAAGAAAACGTAGGTATTGTTTGAGTTGTACATATGAAGACTGTTTGTCCATTTTCATGCATAAAATGTCTGCTACAAATTTTAAGTGCTGCTTTACAAATAACTGAAGAAGTCTCTTTGGTAAGGTCTTTCTCCACCTCTTTACATTTAGTAAAACACTACGAAACAGAACCACATTCTATTTCATATGGTTAAAAATATGAAAAAATCCAGCAGAAGCTTCCCAAAAGCAGAATTCACAATCTAATCAAAGAAATCAGTTTCTCATTTTACTGATGCCTTTCTTGAGCTCCATATAATGGAGGACTATAAAAAGCAGTATGGAAACATGCCATTGCTAAGCCCAACTCAAAGCAAGCATTTGGTGCCGCCCTGCTAAAATTAAACATCCATTAGGAATGGAAGAGTTTTATGACTTCATTCCATTGACTTTCCAGCAGTGACATAGTCCTTCAGGAATTCAAGGAGAACCATCACCAGAAAGGCCTCTTTACTCCACAAGCTGCATCCTATTCTTACTGGCATTAAAGAAGAATTTGTTCATGCACATTCAGTATCCCAAGATTTTTTCTTCAGGTTATAATTAAATCCAGAACTGGGTGAAACAGGGGAATTTTGTGGAGAAGACTGCTCTCACGATGGACCAGTGTATGCATTTCCCCAGCTACGACATTTCTACTACACAATTCCTTTACCTGGTGTTCCAGGAGACCCTTTTGTGCCAGGCAAGCCATTCAGACCACTTAAACCTGGAAATCCATGAAACCCTGAAGAGACATTGGGAACACATAAGTAAGCAAATAAGCAAATAATCTAGTTAGGTGGAAATGCAAAAGATGTTTCATGGAGCCTAAAACATGTATGAGAAACCTGACACACAGGGGAACAAAATATGCAAAGTCTTCTTTCACACAGGCCCCTTTCATGGAAACTCTTCCCCCTGCTCTCACTGGTTTTACCCTCGGTGAACACCCATCAGTGACCCAAATCAAGTGAGAGCCTCTCCCCTTCCAACCACTCCACTGCTTATTTCTAGCAGCTGGTGCCTGCACTAACACTGCCAAGAAATGAGCTGATTTCCCACGCACAGCTGGCCCACACATAAGAGTACTGCCTGCCTGCTGTGATATACTTGGCCGAAACACTGGTTTTCTGACCCAATTTCTCCTGCTCTGTGCAAGCTCCAGACATACCTTTAGGTCCTGCTGTTCCACGAGCTCCGGGGAATCCGACAGGTCCTGGCTGCCCTGGAGGTCCTGGTGGCCCAGGGGTTCCTCTCAGCCCAGCATTTCCAGGGATTCCTAAAAACAAGCAGAAAAATGTTTCTGTACTACACATGCAGGCTGGAACAGCTCACAGCTCCATCTTACATTCTGTTCCTGCACTTGACTCACAAGATTGGTGAATAAACTACTATTTAGATAAAGCAAAACCAGATCCAAATCTCTCCTTACTACCACTGCTAGCATAGCACTTATCAAACTATTTATTTGATAGCTTGTTTTTTTTAATCATACCAATTACATTCTTCATCATCCACCAAGTGACACACTGGAACAGTTCACATACTGAATAACTAATTAAATCGATTTTCAAATAAAATATTCCAATGACAACTTTCACCGTTCTCCCATCTTTAATCTTGAAAACAATTTGAGAACTACCTGCTAGTTACACAACTACCCAAAGACACTTGTAGCCATCCTTCTGGGTAGGTTTGGCTCTAGAGAGGGAACGGACAGAAGTGTTGCAATGGAAGATTTTCGAGCAGCCTTGCCCATAGGCAGCTGCAAAGAAGCTGCTACTGCTTGTATCCGACTGAGGTCTTCCCTATTTGTTAAAGGAATTCCTTTAGGTTTCAGTTGTGCAGGATTCACAACATGGTTGATCCACAGGATCAGTCACAACAGGACAAGGTGACACCTTACACTAGTGTCAAAGAAAATTCCCATCTTCTTGTCAACCTGCTTGTTTAAACCTCAGCTGAGACAGGCCAACCAGGGCTAAGGAAACAACAAGGTGAGGTTGTTCCACAGTCATACCACGAACTGCAGAACTTGAATGCCTAGTCCAGTACCTGCTGGTCCTTCTTGGCCAAGATCTCCTGGGCCACCTTTGAGTCCATTCACCCCAGTGTTTCCTGGGTAGCCTGGTTCACCCTTCAGTCCTTCTCTCCCTCTCTCTCCTGAAAGGATAAAAACATACAGCAAGGTGGAGCATAAACCAAACTGGAGAAAGGCATGAAGAGAATAATAAACATGTTGTGCTGAGGCTGCAGCACTTGTGTCTCCTTAGCCGTGGTCTGGGTCCTGGACAGGACTCCCTGAATGCCAAATACCAGTGCAAATTCACAAGTTCCTCCTCAAGAAGTGCAATGGGACCCAGCATTAGAATTGGGCTGTTCTCAGACATGTTCATTATTATCCAGATTTGTGCCCCACCTGGATTCCAGACTCCTCAAATCTCACTTCCAGGAGAGGGCTAAAGTATTTAAAATTATAGATTACAAAAAAAAAAACCAAATTGGGTAATGCTATCCTGTTTAATCTCTAGAATTTTGTGTTCTTGAAGCGAACAACGAAGGGCTACTTTACCTGGGAACCCCGGGGCCCCTCGCTCTCCTTTTGCCCCAGCAAAAAAAAGAATGCCAACAGACTCTCCCTGCTCACCTGGAAAAGAAAGACAACATGGGGAGGCCATTCCATAATTGACTGTGGGGAGCAGTTTTCAGGGCTGCTCAATAGCTTTGTTTATGAAAATAAACCTTGTCTATACTTCAAAGGCATGGAGCAAACAAAGATGATAGTAAGTGATGTATCTGAGTTTGAAAATGCTTATAAACAGCAATGGATGCAAATCCACTCATGTAAATGCATGATAAGACAAACATTTATGGGTAATTCCACAACATCTTGCCCTTTATACTTTTGACAGAAGGAGATGTGAGAGAAGGGCACCTCTCATACTGTCCAACATGCTTCACACAGTGCTGTGGCCAAACTTTCAAAGGACCATAAAGTATTTAGGCTTGGGACTGGTCTCATCTGAGTGAAGCCCCTTACAAGGGGACATGTACTTCAGAGCCAGTCACTGGAGAGCAACAGACACTTCTAGAATACTACTCATTCATTTTAGTCATGAATATTAGGACTGTGTATACTGAAAGACCATGTACACCACGACAGATTTCTTACCCTTTGGACCAGGGAGGCCAATAGGTCCTGGGAATCCAAGTGTTCCGGTGATACCATCTGAACCCTGAAAAAAACCCAAACAAATTAGCCTTTGCTTTTTATTCTTGCTGTTCCAAGTGTGGGTCATGTGGGATAACAGACCACAAAGATGTAGGAAGAAATACTATCCAAAGTGTCCTTCAACAGCATGAGCCAAACAAAAACAATCTGGAAGTTTTGTAAGCAAAAATCCTGCCAGCTTCTGCTGTTTTGCTACAGAAGTGCCAATTAGAACATAGGATTTTCCTAAGAGCACTTAGAGAAGATGAAGATACTTAAGAAGGTATTTACCCTCTCTCCTGGCATTACTGGACATCCTACGATACCATGTGTACCCTTCTGTCCTGGCAGCCCAGGCTGTCCAGGTGGACCAAGGAAGCCTGGGTCACCATGAAGACCTCTCTCTTTGCTTGCTGACCCAGTTGGACCAGGGAGACCAGGCTGTCCACGGCTTCCTGGGATTCCTTTATCACCTGGGTTATACAAAAGGGTGTAATTTCATTTCATAATACAGACATTCAGCTCATTTGGGCCAATTGACCTTTTACCCAAAGCTCCCCTTAAAGAGGAGGAAGGGATGGCATCAGCTCTTCAGAACAGAGCTTCAAAGGAAAACTGTTTTCTCAAAATTCAGAACTGCCATATGCAAATCTTGCTAGAATGTGAATACCAGAACAGAAAACAGTAATACTGCAAGCGCTGTCAAAAGTGCCTGAGAATAGGCACAATTACTGAACAACTGATACTGGCAACTAACTACAATGTTGTGAAATACCTCTAGGTCCAGGGAATCCTCCAAGTCCAGCTAATCCAGGATCTCCTTTGTCTCCCTTGAACTGCAGTGCCTGTTCTGGAGGCCCAAGAATAGGAAGACCAGGTGGACCTGCATCACCTCTGTCACCTGAAGAAATAAGAAGTCGGGAAATCTTCTTGCAAAATAATCTAACAGAGAAAGGGTATAACACTAGAAACTGGCAGACAAAAACAGAACTTCCATGTCACCAGTAAGCGCTCAGCATCTTTGGCAACCAGGCCAAAGTATTTCACAAGGAAGAAAAGAACACAATATTTAGAAGAAAACATTAAATACGCAGACATCTCAGAAGGGCCTCCTAAGTCCCTCTGCTGCACAGCCAGCAAAAGCCTTTCAGTTGTTTCTCACCTTTTTGACCTTGGAGTCCCACAACACCAGGGCTGCCTTTTCCTCCAGCTGTGCCAGGAGCTCCCTTAAACCCATTCACCCCAGGGACACCAGGCAGGCCTGGCATGCCAGGGAAACCAAGCACGCCAGAAGACCCTTTCTCGCCTGTATAGAAAAGTTGAGAAATAGAAAGGGATAATTAGTCTTTTCAGGTACACTGCATACCCACCCAGCTGGCATGTAAAGGCAGCATGGGTCTGGCCAGTCATCCAAATCTGGGTAGTAAAACTTCATGGTGCAAGCACAGCACAGCCACTTCTCTCAAGGGTCTCCACTCATGATATTTTCAACTACCACTTTTCAGTTCACCTTTGAGAGCCTGGTCCTGCTTCCACTGGAGAGCAAAACCCAATCGATTTCCAAGAGAGCAACATGCAGTTACATAGATCTATTACTCTCTGCCTAAAATAACACAGAATTCTCCAAGTAATCAACTATTGTATCGGTGCTTAATGACCATACAGATTTAAAATTTTTACTTCCCATTTGGGTTGGACTTGATGATCTTTGAGGTCTCTTCCAACCATAACAATTCTATGATTCTATGATTTGGTTTGTGCTTCGTGTTCTCCCTTCTATAAATTTCACTCACTGTTCAGTATTTCTTAAATTTTCTTGTCTTTCTGTCTTGATTTACACAATCCTTTGTCCATAAGAGCCCGAGTCTTTTAAGATGGATCTCTTTATGACCATGATTTGATAACTAAACCCATTATTTGTCATTCATAGCTCAGCAGCAAAACAAATGCATTCCGACACTCATTGGGAATTCACTATCTTCTGACAAGTTGGGCCTAAAATCAGTATTAACAAGGTTATTTTTCTGTGGGCACAGTCATCTCAGACTATTCCCCTACTGGAACACATACCTTTTGGCCCAGAGAAACCTGGACGTCCATCTTGACCAAAAGGCCCAGGTGGCCCTAAGAATCCTCTTTCCCCAGGAGATCCTGGAGCACCATCAAGACCTGGGAAGCCTTTCATACCAGCAGGGCCTTGTGGACCTACATCCCCAGTCAAGCCTTTGACGCCAGGAAGTCCTAAATCAACACAAGAAAGAACTCAATAGATTACGTCACACAAACACTAGGACAATTTGTGGACAGCTTCCCAAACTCTTTATACACAGCATTGTTTTTAATAAAAAATGGACCTTATGGCACATGCAGCCTACTAGAAGGCATAAAGCTTAGAATTGCAAAAGCATTAGTCATCTAATAATAAAATACCTAAGAAGAGGGTTACTGCCTACATCACTACACAACTGGCAAGAGTGAAACCCCTTATGATGTATTCATTTTTGGCTCCTTTACCAGACACTAAACTGTAGCGCACTAGTCTTACCTTTATCATCAAGGCAGCCAAACCAGAATGGGGAGCATCATTAATACCAGCTTCTGCTACCTACCCCATCCTCTGGGTGAACCAGAGATCAGTTGGAGAGGCTTGTTTTTACAAGTTTCTTTTCCACCTTGGTAGTTAAAGTGTTACTTCTCAAGAGCACATCGCTCACAACAGGAACAAGCTTCTGGTTGTGCTGTCACAAAACCAACACCTTATTCACTGTTTTGCCTCATTTCAGAATGTTTCTAGCTGAAGTTTTGTAATGGTTTACAATTTTAAATAAAGGCTTAAACCATTGAAAACAGAATGCTCAGATCCAAAGGGAGCAAGAGAAGGAAAAATCAGGTGGCTTCTGAGAAACAGCATCTGCAGCAGTAGCACCCAATACATGAGCTTTGTTATACTCAAAGCTTAAACATTTTAAGCTACAACCCAGTATTTCTTAAAGCAGAAGATGAAATGGCTGCTTTAAAGAAGACAAAGAAAACATACACACTTAAAATCTGTACATATTAAGGATTTCCTTATAGGCTTCAGGCTTTGTTACTGTCTGAGCATTCTCACGACAATGGTTCTTTGCCTTCTGGTTTGAGTAGCGATAATAAGGGGTATCACCTGTAGTCAATGCAATTCTTGTAGCATTAAAAGCTAGGTTGTTAGTCCATGAGCTTTTATGCTACACTGCATTTTCTCACCTTGACAGCCTATGTGAAGAACCCATAACCAAATAGTGTGACATCAGAAATGGAGAGTTGATGATAAATGGAATAGAAACATGGTGAAGGAAAAAATAGACAAAATACGTAAACAGAAAGAACAAGGGTACAAAAGAAATTAATGATTCAGAGAGACAACAGCTGCAAAAAACTTAATAATTTGGAGCTTATCATCCTAGCAATGGGAGGTTTTTAAAAACAGTTGAAGCAAGTCATATATGGCATACAGTCCAAAAATGTAAAACAAGAGAGAGGCAAAAGGAATGTTGATGTTAAAATAAAAAAACTTCAAAACTCTATGATTTTCATCTCAAATCATGCTACTGCTTTCATTCATTTGTTGTCATTGTGCTCCAGCACTGTCATTCTGCATGTCAGAATGGACGAGTTATGTCACAAACCATTATCTACTAATTCCCAGGTCCTTCTTTGCTTGGTTCTTAAGTCTTGCATGTACTGTTATCATGAAACACTTTAGTCAGTGCAACTTGAGAGATACTACTGTACTCAAGTGGTGGGTTTTTTTTCCCCTTAAGGTGAAGGGAAATAATTTCTCTTCTGCTCCAGAAAAGAGAAAGACAGGGAAGACAAGTTCTTGTTCTGAGAAAGTCAACAATTTTTCAATCTATCAAAGTCACATTTCAAGCAACCTCATACATTAAAAATTAATCGTCATGAAAATGGGAAATGAAGATTAGTCAGTGATACAGCCAGCATGTAAAAGCAGAGATGTTAAAAATACCAAGCCACTTAAGATGCTTTCTCCTATCCTTCTGCTGTACTTCTTAGAGTCTTGGGACAACATTTCTAGGCAAGTGCCATCCGGCAGTCAGAGGTGAAAGGCTCAAATTCTGCACTCTATTACCCCTAACCAGAGGCAGGAGCTCACTCCTAGCAAACGCCAAATCTCTCCCACACTTGCTCAACATTGCAGCGTTCAGCTTCGTTACCTGTCTTCATTTGAAGACATTACATACCTGGTGCTCCTGCAAGGCCAACTGACCCCAAGGGTCCTGGTTTTCCCTTAATACCAAAAAGACCTCCAGGACCAGGAGGTCCCCGCAATCCAGGGACACCCGAATATCCTGGATGACCCTGTTCGCCTTTAATACCAAGGAGGCCTGGTCTTCCGTCTAACCCTGGGAACAGAGAGGTGGGACGTTACAGAACAAATAAAACAAAATTCACACTTTTAATTAAAAAGTGAGTTTTAATAAAAGCTTTTGAATTGCATTAGATTCTAAGAGAAAACCAGCAAATCGCCAGCTGTGAGCAGCTTAGAGGACTGCTAATACAGTATCTTAAAGAGATTGGAAAGAGGAAAGATTTTTGAAAGAGAAACAGTTTGATATTCCCAGATAGAAGCAGTATCAGGGCTTACCTTTTGGTCCTGGAAATCCAAGATCACCTGTAAGTCCTTTATCACCTGGGAGTCCAGGTCGGCCACGCTCTCCCACAGCTCCACTCTCAGCACCAAATACATCTCCAGCAGCTCCTTTTGTTCCACCTAAGCCTGAAGCACCCATTTTCCCAGGCAAACCATCTGTTCCATCCAGTCCTGGAAGTCCTTGTGACCCTTGCTCTCCTCGAGGCCCAGGGAAGCCTTAAGAACAATAGATGTCACTCATTATAAGTACAGAATATCTGCTTCCAATAGCATCTCTAACAAAATCAACATTTAAAAAATTTCCATGCAAGAAAAAGTTGTTTAGAAAGTTGCAGAATGTTTCAGTACTGAATTAGAAACAATAATTGGTGACAGAAAATGATGAAACTGTTTAAAATAGTTAAAATATCCTTTCATATTATTATTTTTGTTCTTAAAGAAAAGAATACTTTAGGAGTATCTGGGAGCTGCAGCTAGTCACAGCTTTACAAGTTTGGTTTCAGATGGCAGATTAGGCAAAAAGAACTAAAAAATGAGGAAGATGGCCATTTCTGGCTACAGGCAGGCAGCATCTCACTAGTGCTATCAACCACAAAAGCTGCAAAGATGTTATATTCATCACACCTTTCTTCCTCTGTCCTCTATGTCAGACAACTTCTGGCACTGTACCAAGTAGACACTAAAGCGCAATGCTGTGCTATGTCACACTGCTCAGAGGTTATGTCATGAAATCTGTGACCCCATAAAGATGACATCCCTCCCTTAATGTAGTGAAAGGATAAGAGATTTCTTCAGCCATATCCAGAGAAACCTGATGGATACACAGCAACCTAGCTTTAGGAATCTTCCCTCACCATCTCTGCTTCTTGCTCTTTATTTACACAACCACCAGAAATTTCCACAGCTAAAATGAGTCCAAACACTGTGTACAACGTGCCTTGACATGGCTTAAAACAAGTTTTTCACTAAACTTGTAGTTAATCTAAACTGTAACAAAGCACATGACAACGGTCTCTGGAGAAACAAATTGTATTGGTTGTCCTCTTTTTCTTCCAGCAGCAATATAATATTATAAGCAGGTAACAAGTATCTTGAACATTTCTTTTGTTTTCTTCCAAGCTGCAACCATTTGCTTGCAGAGACCGCATCTGGAAGGAGCACAATGGAGCTCTCAATGGAGCATTATGAATATACCAGGCAGAAAAGTGGCCTAAAAGGTTGGACAACTCTTTTGATAAGATATTGTACACGTTAATCAGACAACAAAAAGAACTCCAATAACTTCCCTCTTACCAGGTTCCCCTTGCAAGCCTATTATTCCTGGAGACCCTGGCTGTCCTTTTGACCCATGTAATCCATGTTGGCCTGGAATGCCAGGAAAGCCTTTGCTGCCTTTGGGACCTAAGGGTAAAAATATATTAATAAATTATATTAATGAATGAATAATGGAAGACAAAAACACAGCATGAGAAAACAGGATCAGATCTTTTCTGCAAAGCTAGTGCTGAAAACACTCGCTGGATACACAATTTAAGCTAAATAATTTAAGCTAAATAATATGGCTGTTTCATTAGCTACATAAACATAGGACAAGGTTTGCATTCAGAGGTTACGTGAAAGGGAAAAAATGGTGCAGTCATTATGATCCTCCACGGGATTTAAGCCTAGTCTCTTTGGAAAAAAAAGAATATTGTTCTGCCAGTTAACTCTGGCATGACTAACACTCAGAGGAGATTAATTAGCAGGTATTATCTTCCTTGAGGAATAAGTGCTTCTTGGTAGTCAGCCAGTGCATTACAATCAGCTTGTCTCCGTACCTGGCAATCCTGGAAAGCCAGGAGTCCCTGGGGGCCCATATGCTCCGGGAACTATGCAGGGCAAGGTGATACCTAAAACAAAGAAACACTAAGGTTGCATACAGCCCCTTTCAGAGAGAGTCAGAAGAGGAACATTTCGTATCCAGATGTTTTTTACAGGACATACCTTAAGTGGCTATGAGTGAATTCACACACATCAAACACTGCTGACATCTCAAATATGTGATGTTAAAGAAAAGAAGAGGCATTCGGAACCTTGCAATTGTCTAATCTCATCTCTACTACTGACTTACTGCATGACCAGTAAAAGGTAGTAATTACTGCTGTGGACTACTCGTAGCATGATATCCATGGCTTCCACTCAGCAACTGGTCCTTCCTATGGTAGGGACTATGCAAGAGGCATTGAAAAGGCAGTCTGTGACTCAGGGAGCTTAAGGTCCAGGCTCACAGCTTTCAAACTCAGTGGGAGCTGACAGGTGTTCCTAACTTCTAAAAATTGAGGATGTTTCTAAGCTGTATATAAACAGTATGCTATAGTGTGAAATTCTAAAATAAATGTGCACATGTAAGATAAAATACATATCTAGGGAATATTGACAGGTGTTTAAAAAAACCTGTCACCCAAGAGGTCAGAGAGATACATGCACGGAGGGTGGCATAACAAGGATTTTTTTATTTCAGCCTTACTTTCCAACTGCTTCTTCCGCAGTCTGTCAGACTAAGAAATAACCACATGGCTTAAAAGTTTATTAGTAGCCAACAAGACTCAGCAATTGCAAAGCTCTTTGATTTCCAGCTCTCAAAAAAAGGCTCTGTTTGTAGAGAGCCTCTTCAGCAGAATGAAATTTATGTGGTATTATCAGAGTTGCTAGCACATCAGATTTACCTGAAAGATCTCAAACACTTCCAACATTCCTCCTTGTAGGTCACTGACAATTTGAAATCACATTCAAACAGTCACAGAAATTATTATCACAAAAACTAATTCAAGACTTTCCAACTCCAGAAATTCTTCCAGTTATTTTAAGAGGAGTCTGTGCTAGAACTATAAAATTAGCTCCTACGCTGTAACGGCTGACTTAGCCTTAAACTGTCATAGATATACTTTCTTAAAATGAGAATCTAAAGGACTATAAAAGCTATTTAGTCAGAGAGATTACATACAAAAAGATGACTACTAAAGTAAATTTGGGGAAAAGAGGTGCTTTTTTTCATTAGTCTGAACACTTTTATATGCATAGAGAAACAGCTGCCTAACTGCACCCTTGTCCAGTATTTGCTAATTCAAATCTGGCATCAACTACCAGGCCGATTAAGGATGAGATAATCAGGTATCACATACACATTGTTTCTCATTTCCTTGCAACTCTTTTTGCAGGATCCTATTCAAGCTCCATTCCCAGACTGACAAGCCAAATTCATTCATCAGCCATTCAAGAGCACTCCAAATTGTGACTGCTTTCCGTTCTGAGGAGGTAATATGGTCTCAATCAGGCAACACTGGAAGTATTTTTTTCAGCACAGCAACATAAGTTAAACACTTTTTTTGAGAAAAGATTAACATTTTCAGATGACTAACAAATTTTATTAACAAAAGACCCTGAGTCAAACTATTTCCTATGTAACTCCAATCAAATCAGTGGTTTCTGTATGGATAGTAAATACGACTCTTTGCTTCTGACATTGACTGTGGGAACAGGGTCTCAAAATAACACAGGTCAGGACAAAAACTCATAAAGTAACCCAGTATGTCTTTTCTGGTGCAAAGGCTGTAAAGATCCCTATAAATTTTTTGGTTGAAACAGTGTTAAGAACTGGTTCAATGACATTCTTCTTGGATTCTTCTCAATAGATTCCAACTCAGTTTACAAAAGGCTGTGTGAAAATCTTCTGACTTCGATGCCTACATCCAACCAGAGATGGAAAGTTAAGCTTTCAGTTTAGGGTCCAGCCCCAAACCCAGTCAGTGTAGGCAGATTTGAGCATCCCTCTCTGACGGTGCCAAATCACAGAGAGTGATTCTGGTTTGACCTCCCATTTCTACTCCATTTCATTCCACTCTCAACCCTAACTTGCACGATTTCATTATTCTGACTTGTGTGACTCATTTCATTATTCAGACTTGTGACAAGAAAGACCAATCTTAATCTCAAATTCTAGCTAGTTGGGGGCTGCTAACATGTATCAGCTCTAGTACAAAGAAACAAGCAAGGCTCACGTGGAAAGTGGGATGAAGCAGGGAACGAGAAGGAACACAGCCCCCAGGGTGTCTAATCTACTCACATGTTGAGAGATGCTACGCAAATTCTGAAGGAAACATCAGAATATTTTCAACTTTGATGTGAGAGAACCAAAGGTCAGTTCTCAATTCATTACTTTTATCTTGATATAAGGCATTCAGTCATAGCAAAATTAATTTTAAAATCACTCTACTCATGATAACATATCTACCTGGAGTTGCAGTAACAATTCCATTCTTACACAAAGCCAAACAGTGCTCTATTTTCATCTGTGACAGCAATTCATAGAATCACAGAATGGTTTG